GCCGCCTTTACTCGCCGGCTTACCCTTCTCCCGTCGCGTAGGTGCAGGGCTTCCTGCAACTGCGAGTTCCTGGTCCATAGCTACGATGGAACCAGCAGTAACCCTCGNGTGGTTTGCCCGAGGGTGGCTTCTGAGCGTTTGGTTGCTTTTGGTGAACGTGGGCAGGCTGTCCTGCCCGTTCCAACCTAGGCTTAGCCCTATAGGGGTTCGCTGTGGGCACCAGGACTCTGTCCTTGAGAGACAAGCGCTGGTGTATGCAATGTGGTCGTGGCTGTGAAGGCCGTACGGCATATTTGTCCCTGTTCCTCCTATACGGTTGCGATCTCGTGGCAACGAGGAAATTATCCTCATTAGCGACCCGTGCAATTATCTTATCTTCAATCGAGGCAGCTTTGTCGATTGAGGAGTCTTCCAGCAGAGCCGTTGCCGTCGGTTGGACGTGACGTGGCAACGACTAGAGCCACAGCTCTCTGCGTAAACGTATTTGGAGCGCTGGCCCCGCACGTTACGGGCGACAAACTGCCTTTCTAATGCCGCAAACCACACTTCGAGGTCATGGGGGATGAAGCCTATTGGCTTAAAACTAATAGCCAGTAAGTCCAGCTCCCTATGGTCTACCGGTGGACGTTCCTCCGACATTGTACAAATGTGATAAAGAATTATATCGTGCAAATGATAATGAACCGTGAGAAAAAGGTGCAAACCCAAATGGAATCGACTTACAGAGTAGACGGTGCGGGCTCACCAATGAAGCTAATCAGAGTTGACGGCCTGCCGATAAGTCTTCTTACGAGTCTCAATTTACGTGCGACCTCCTAATGTCTCGTTGCCCGAGGTAGACAAAAACACTCGTGCGAGTCGTAGACGTTTATTGGCGTATCGTGGTACTAGATAGTACCGAAACGTACCAAGGCGACGCTAAACAATGCAAACAATAAATGCAGTAGCAGAGCGAAAGCGTGTCACACGTGTAGCGTGGGTTTGAACAGGACCTACGCCTAAACGGAAAACCGTGCTCGGTAAAACAAACAGAAGTGAAACAAGGAAGTATCACAGTTGGAGTCACAGTTGATTGTGAAAAAAATATGAACGCAAAACGTCCTCGTGGATTGCTTCTTTTCTTCGTACAATCATGGTCACTTCACCAGTTCCAGCTGCTAGATAACCGGTGACAAGAAGAGTTTTATTATCCAGCGTCAGTTTGTGATTTGACCCGATAGGTCTGGTAGCTCCTCTATGCCTCCCAGCAAAGCAGTTGCTGCAAACATTGTGTAAATGCAAATTGGGTTGCGACCAACCTCTCAATACTGTAGATGCCAGTTTTTGGGAAAGCTGGGTACGCTTTGTTATATGTTTAGAAGTGATTACGATCCTAAGAATTATTAGAAACGAAAATTGGGGAGAAGGAGGGAGAACAGAGTTGCGTGTTTTCTGTGATGCATCCCAGACAGGTTATGGGGCCGTCGCCTGCGCGTGGTGTGTTCCAGGAATAAAATCAGGTTACAGCATTGTACTGTTCAGTAAGTCTCGAGTGGCACCTATCAAACCTGTATCCATACCACGACTGGAACTGTCTGCGACAGTCCTCGGAATCAAGATAGGAGAGTTGATAAAAAAGGCTCTATCGGAGTTGGTCAGCAAGGATTCAATGATTGTCACATATTATATAGAAAATACTTTAACACGTTTTAGTACAGCCGTTGCGAATGGGTTAGCAATCATCCATCATTACTCTAAAGTGTCCCAATGGCGTCACGTCCGGTCCGAACAAAATATCGCTGACCTTACTTCGAGAGGTATATCAACAAGAAGAGAACTATTGACATGGTCAGAGGGGCCCATGTTCTTACAGAGTTATATTCCACAAGCACTATCTCCATNTTTAGTACATTCGTTGCCAATCGGTTAACAATCATCCATCAGTACCCCACGGTGTCCCAATGGCATCACATCCGGCGCGAACAAAATATTGCTGACCATACTTCGAGAGGTATATCAACAAGAAGAGAACTAGAGACACGGTTAGAGGGACCGATGTTCTTACAAAGCTATATTCCACAGGCATTACCTCCATTATCGTCCCCACCGGATGGCGTAGAGATGAAGAAAATTGTAGAACGAGTGAACACAGCTTTCTTGTCGATAAAACTAGAACAGCTTCTGCATCGTTACTCTCAATGGTCAAAACTTTTAAAGTCAGTTGCATGGATTATTTGTTTCATCTCTTACATTAGAATTATGTATTCGTCGAGAAACGAAAGTACCATGAGCGTAGGAAACCCCACCGTCGAAGAAATTGACACAACTCGACGAAAGATTTTACGAATGGTGCAGAAAGAAACGTTCGGAGAAACAACATTACAGGCAAAACTTCAAGAAGCACGAAACGGAGACATGGTGCATTCTTCGTGGAATCATGGTTACTGGAGGGGATAGGATGAAGACCAGCAAACTGCTGAACACCATCACATCAACTATATTCCCATGCGGCAACCCGAAGTGTTCCAAGCTTGTCGTGCACAACGGCATTCAGTTTGACGTGTCAAGTGCTGGTATAACAAGATCTGCAGTAAAGCCGACAGCAGATAAAACGAGATCAAAGTTAAGCACCATTTTCTACCAAGGGACTACTTAGCCTGTGGCGGTTGCTGACGGAACTCGCGAGAAAAAGGGCCAAGAAAAGGAGACTTGACTGATTTTAGTACCCGAACCGAGATGGTCGAAGGTGGTACGAAGACCGTCAGTAGAGGAATTAACACTAGCGTGGGGATAAAATCCCATCGTTTGATCCGCAACCCCATTGCCGGACCAAAAGAAGCTAAGATGAAGCCAGTACAAAACAATGGTGCACAAAGTACAACGGGGCAACCTGTTTCACACTTGAAAACCGTGCACCACAAGGGCAATGCCACACCCAGGTCTATACAAACTGGCCTTAGTACCAGATCAGTCATATTATTTGACCTACTCGAATCCAACTCAGCATCGCTGCCCGAGCGGGACATTCACGAAAGCACAGTTTTCCACCAATTGAGTGTCGACATGTCGCTCCTTGACTTAGACACACAAAGCCTCAGGCGACTAGCAAAGAGCCAGGACTACTTACACACAGAGCACTCCAAGCCACGAAGTTTAGATGACCTTGACGCCACGCGGGTAAATTTTGTCGTGGGTTTATTTTTGTGAATTTGTAGT